CTTCCCCTTCTCCGAATACAGACGGGTATGTAGGCTCATGGCTCGCAAGTGCGATCGCCAAGAGAATGAGAGTCACCCTTTGGGCACTGCAGAGCTGGGGAGACAGGGAGAGGGAACCCTTGGCCTCTGTGTAGGCTGAAAGGAGATTAATATAGATTTATATGTATATATTTATGTATATACATAAAGGAAACATTTTCTATAACCAGAAATACAAGTGTTTGGGATCGGATAAAATAGAAACCAAGCATTTTTAGGTTAGAAGGCACGTGGCAGATGCCCATAAAAATGTCAGCTACCGTTTTGCATATTGTGGGCAAACAAAATGATAAACTTTCCCAGCAGCATAGATTATTATTGCCAGAGAGAAGGGTCAGAATAAGAATCTGCAGATAGTCTGTTAGTAACCAGTGTCCAAAATGGCAAGCTAAAAGTTTCTATTGCTGAGCTGAGGGGAGGGTTTAGGTTAAACAGGCTTTTGCTTACAGCTCCCGCTACCTTCTCAATGATAGTACTTAAAAGTGTTGCTGGGAAACCTATTTATCTTTTTAAAAATCATAAAATGAATATCAGAGAAGGCCTAAAATATTTTATTAAAGCCTCCAATGAACTATAGGATTGAGGAAATTTTCCAAAATGCTGACGGGACATCATTAAAGGCTGCAGGCTGTGCACCTGGTGGGTGCTCCTGTGGCATTAGCCAACGTTAGTATCAGCCTGTGTGAAGGCAACTTCAGTACTAAGCAATTCATAAATTGGTTGTACTTGTAAAGATGAGTTGGTTTTGTGTCTAGCAGTGGGAGCCAAATGATTTCCAAGTGATTCACTGACCACCTCATTGTTAACCGTTAGCGTGCCAGATACCTACAGACCTAAAGTAACGGTTAATTCAAAAGCATGTGCTGGCTTTTGTTTCACTCCTGCTTGTTGAAGGTGCCAGAACTTCACTTCCCACAGAAGCATTGATGAGCTATTGCTGTGCTAGAAATTTTTCAGACCAATCTTTCTGCAACAATGAGCCTGTGAAAGCCGGGACAATGATACGCTGCTGGCTCTTTCTTTTACTCCATCTCCCCTGTCTGACTACACAAAGGACCAGTCTCACACGGAGAGGTGAGGGCAGCACGTGAGAACGTTCTGACAAAAAGTACAATGACTGCAGCAGTATCTTTCTTTGTCGAATGAGCGAGTGGTGTTAAGCAGACAGTAAGCCTGCCTCAGCTGTAGCAGCATTGAACTGAGAATCATAGAATGGTTTGGGTTGGAAAGGACCTTAAAGACCATCCAACTACCCTGCCATGGGCAGGGACACCTTCCACTACGCCAGGTTGCTCAAAGCCTCATCCAACCTGGCCTTGAACACTTCCAGGGATGGGGCAGCCACAGCTTCTCTGGGCAACTTGTTCCAGTGCCTCACCACCCTCGGTGTAAAAAATTTCTTCCTTAGACCTAACTTCTTACAGCTGAAATCCATTTCCCCTTGTCCTATCACTACCACCCCTGTAAAAAGCCCCTCTCCAGCTTTCTTGTAGGGCCTTTTAGGTGCTGGAAGGTCTTCCCAGAGCCTTCTCTTCTCCAGACAGAACAGCTCCAACTCGATAGCCTGTCTCCATAGCAGAGGTGCTCCAGCCCTCGGATCATCTTTGTGGCCTCCTCTGGACCCGCTCCAACAGGTGGTGGCACTCCTGGTCACTAGAGCTGCCTTTGGTGGGAGCGGGGCGGGGGGCTGGGTGGCCGCCGGTACTCCTGGCCCTGCTCGGGCCTCGTCAGCCGCTCTGGTGAGAGCTGGTGGGTCTCTGCGCTCCTCTGGGGATCCCCCGGCTCAGGAAACCCCCCTGTTTGCCACGATCTCGATCCTCTGCTCCGCTGCAGGATGTGCCTGACTAGAACTGGTCTCCTCTGGGAGTGACTTCAGGGCTTTGTTAACCGCCTGGTGGGAAAAAACCCAGCAATGCCTTGCAACCTCTTTGAGCCTGAAATGGTAAGCTAGAAATAACAAGATTGCTGTTACGTATCCTAGAGGCCAAAAGCTTAGCAGGAATCAACAAGGATTAACGTTTCACAGAGCTGAAAAGGATATGAAGAGTTGTTGTTTCCTGAAACAAAAGTGAATTGGGAGAGCTATAAAGCCACCTGCCCAGTGCGTAAGCCAGCCTTTTAGTGATGGAAGGTAGGAGGAGACTTGCATCAGGAATTAATGTTAGGGAACTCTACATCCCAGGGTATCTCAAAAAGAGATGTGAAGGAGGGCCAGAAAACGTTACTTTCTTAGAAGAAATGAGAATTGTTTTGATCTAAACTGATTCTTGCACACTGAGGCTGTTTCAAAAGGGATCTGATGCTGTTGCCGCCTGCTAATGCTCTCCTCTACTGCAATCGCCGTTTAGCCCAAGCAAACGGTTCACGTTTTAGCTTTGTGGCTGAAGAAGAAAGCACCTGCTTTCTAATATTCAGTACATTAAAAGTTCATTGCAGACTGGACATGTTATTAGTTAATCTTTTCCCCAAAATGTGACATGACTGAAATCTATTCTGACTTTCACCAAGGTGCACCTCGATTAACTCCACTGAATCAACAGATCAGGTGATCGTCATCTTGCCTGCAGAGTGACTTTCAGTGGCCACTGTTAGTGTGCCAAGAATGGAGTTTGCTGTGATGCCCACAGTGTTTCTCTTATTTTGCCTTTTCCTTTTATTGTTGGGAACATTCTTGATATTTAAGGCTCTTGGGGCTCTAATCTTACCTTCCTCTCTCCCTCCTAGTGTCTATCAGCTTGTTGTCAAGGAGGAGAAGCTGCAGAAAGCACGGAGAGCTGCAGACATCGTTGAATGCTTCTCTGTCCCAGTGAGCTACAAGAACGCTTCCAGTCTTGACTCACCACACTACTTTGCAGCCGAGCTGAAACCCATCAACCTGCCCGTCACACAGCCGTTCACAGTGGGCGACAACAAAACCTACAACGGCTACTGGAACGCTCCTCTTTCTCCCCTGAAAAGCTACAGCATATACTTCCAGGCTCTTAGCAAGGCAAACGGAGTAAGTGCAGAGAAAATTGAAGTTGGATCTGTACATATGACCACCTCTAGCTATCCTCATCTTTCTCCTTCCTTCTCCTTTGGATGCCAGTTTAACTCCTTGTTATTATTACCCTTTTACAGAAATTTGATGGAAATTAAACATGCCACTACTTGTCCTTCACTCAAGTCTCTCTCTGATGCCAAGAGCCAATGAGAAACCTGTCGGGGAGCCAGACTATGTACACGTTGATATATGATTTACAAAATTAATTGTTTAGAATTTGGATTTTTTTTGTTTCCTTGCATATGCATGAGTGTCAGAGTAGGGGCTCTTTTGCTCTTAAAAGACGTAACTGTAATATCCTGGTAGTCTCCAGTTCACTGTGCTTGTGATTTTGGAGGAGGCATTATGAGATGAGAACTACACAAAAGCTATGAATTGGGATTCCCTTGTAGCTTACATTTGGTCACGTTATGATGTAGTACTTACGGTTGAGTGTTTCACCTTGAGTGAGTTGTACTGCGGGGGAAACTATGTGCATGTCTGTTTTACTCCTTTTGAGTATCCTGGGCTATATTTTTGTTTACACTTCATGATACTAAGTTTAAAATGGAGATAGCACAGAAAACATAGTCTGCCCTATTCTCACGCTCAAATGATGTACACGTAATACCCCAACAGATCCCGTCTCAGGAAGCGTGACAGCCTCTTTTCCCTCTTCTGTTCCAGCCTCGAGTGGTTTGTGACTTTCTCTTCTAGCTTTTCCGTTTCAGGTCTGTTCAGCTAACAGTGTGCAGGCCAGATCCAGTCTAAGCAGTGGTCCACCTTCCTCCCCTTTGACTCCTCTAATTGTTTTTCGTTATCACATAACATGATACAATTTGACACTTTGGCCTCGTGAAGAGTCTTAGAGCATTAACATGGCATCGAGAAATTGGGTAGCCGGCTGTGTTATTAGCACGTTTGCCAGTGCTTTCATGAATCTGACTTTAACATTGATAAATTCTCGAAGACATCACCTCTGAACGAGCAAAATTAGAAAAATCAATCAAAGGTGAATGGTCTAGGCTTTGGTCTCCACTTGGGACAGTGTCTTCTATACGCAAAACGCAGTCGCACATCACAGAGGACTGTACATCGTTTAACAGGCTAGCAATGCCAATGAGCGTTCACAACACGTCTTGGTGTTTTACTGCCTTCATTTATCACCCTTCTCCTGCAGAGTTTCTGCTGTGTGGCTGACAAGCACAAATCTCTTCAACACTGTGCTGTTTTTCACCTTGGTTTCCTTTCTAGTCGATACAGTTTCGTTCCGGCACTACTCAATTAATTCAATTTTGGATTTGCCTTTATAAAGGAAATTGTGAGATATATGTATATGTCTCTTTGTGTCTAGTTAGTTCCCCTTGTGCGATAGTTAATTACTAGTGAATGGATCCCCAGGGAAGAAGAAACTTTATTTGCTTAAGTACAATATAATATGCCATAAGTGGGTTATATGAACGGAAATGTAAGCTTCTCTTGGTGTTCTGGATTAAGGCAGCACTAATGTGTGGTTTCTGCTTTTTGTGCATCTCTGTGGCTGGCAGGTTGCATCATGCTCTCTACCTACAAGGTGATCAGGACTCAAAAAAGGATGACTTGCTTGGACTGTTCTAATAGCAACACCAGACTGTAAAAGACTTTTTAACCATAATTAATCAAAAGAGTCTGTATGCAACAAGATGCAGTTTGTGAAAGCATGACAAGTATCCTGCCAGACAAAACAAAATCTTATTTGAGCAAGAAATTGCCTCTTGTGTTACTATTGGTACACTATTGTTACTATTCGTTACTATTGGTACAGTTTATGCTTATATATCCTTGAAGTGTAGTGCTATGGGAAAAAAAACAGAGGAAATGTCCAAGGCTGGAATATGGATCTTCAAAGAAGTAGCTGTGATGGTTTTTGTTTCTAGATAAAATCCTTAAGTCTCACATTTCAAACATTAGGGTCTGATTTTCATCCAGTCTTTTGCAGCTGTAAAGAATAAGTTTTGTTTCAGTCCCAGAATTGTTTACAGGTATAATCTGTATTTACATGAAGCCTACTAATACTTATGGCTGCAATGTGGCACTTTTGATAACCCACATCTGCAAAAAATCTGAAACAGTAACAATTTAGCTCAATTAAAACATAGCCTTATGTTCCCTTGCACACGAAAAACTTAACAGAACATTGCCACTCATTTTTTAATTAGGATATTCTGTAGTTTCATTAGTCACTGACAGTTGTGGAATGGCGAAACTTCTTTCCACACCTGGAACCTGCAATGAGAAACCTTCATGCAGTGATCCAGAACATCTTTTGGAAATGCAGGACTCTGGGGAGAGCTTAATTGGAAGAAACGTTCTGTATTTGGTCAAAAAGCTTGATTAGGAGGAGGTGGAAGTGTTAGAGGAGTTCTGCATTGTTTCAGCTTCTCTGTGAGTGGAGGGTTGTGCTCATTTGGTGTTCTCGTCTGCTCTGCAGCCATTAGCCATGATTGTTACAGTGAAAGGAACGTAATTAGCAGCTGGATGCAAAACAAGTGTGGCAAATTGCTGCAAAATCAGATCAGGAGCTTTTCTGCCTTCTCTTGTGCAGTGTTGTGCTTGTTGCTGGAGAGTTTGAATGAGATAGCTGTGGCTGGCTGAATTCTTTTCTGGGGACAGTTGCATGAAGTTTGGTCAACATGGTGTTGCTTCCAGACAAGGGTCTAAACAGAACATGTGTGAAACAGAATGGTTTTCAGCTTTGTTGTACAAAACACTTCCAAATTGTGTGAAATTCCCTCCTAGGGACTGTTGAAAGCTGAGGCTGAGCTGAAATGTGTCAGAGTTTGAAGTAAGAGGGGGAAAAAGAGAAAAAGGAAACGGAAGCTCCAGGCTTTGTAACTGTGGGGTTGAGAAGCACGTTAGTTACTGTTTAACTGTTAGAAGGAGTTAGCACAAGGAGTGACACGGGAAGAAGAATGGACAACTGGCTTTGCTCTCCTCTGGCAGGATCTCCACACTGGATGGCTGTCGCAGCCATCCAGGTAGTTAACTGCTGTTTGCTGGTTGTCCTGGTGCCACCTGCTACAGCTGGCTGCCCGACAGAGCAGGACATCTCCCTTGTCTGAAAAACCTCCCTGAGCTCAGCCCATTTGGTGTTTATCCCTCTGAAAGGTGAGGCCAGGGCAGCAACACCATGTTACTCCTTATCCTCTCTTATCCTTATACTGACTTAATACTCAAAGTTAAACGTTGCAGATTTTGTTGTTCCCACGTTCTTTATCTAGGTCATTGTAGGTGACAGTCTCGGATTAGTGAACCAGTAACATGCTCAAACCAGGAGAATTCTTTGGCTGTGGTGTGAAACCTGCCTGAATTTTTGAGCAGCTCAGAAACCAGAGCTTCCTAAAAATCCTTCCCGGAGTTGCATTTTACTTCATTGAGTTGAAATGAAACCTGTACCGGCACAGTTGCAATCAATTACTCTTGGCCATTTTTCCCCCGAAGGGGAGATGAGGCAGGAACCTTTGTACTGCAGCTGGAGATGATGTGGGGATGCTGCCAGCTGGTCCTGCAGCCTGGTGGCCCAACAGGTGAATGATGCTTTCAGGCCAGAATTGTGAAAAGTAGCACCACAGGAATCAATGAGAATATTATTTTTGAGGGAATGATAGCCTCTACAGAGATTCTTATTGATCTTTTTTTCCTCTCTAATGACTTGTACTACATGCACAATAGGGCAGTTCATTATTATCCAGAGACTTCAGGCTGGATTTCTAGATGCTGACAGGTCTACTCTCAGTACACACAGCATTCTTCTTCTGGGATGTTTTGGAGGTACGGATAGAGCTGCCAGCAGAGAAGTGGCATTCATCCCTGTGGAGATGGCCCACAAAAAAAATAATGAGATACTTCAGTTCAGCACGAGCCATGTTCTGAAAAATGAAGTGGCACCAAGGCCACCTGCATTGCTTCTGTGAACTATTACACAGCTTTGAGGAGCTCTGTGTTCAGTAGGATTTCGGGTGTACAATTTTGTTCACTTAAGTTTACTTCTTGATCTCGTATTGGAGCTGCTGGGGCAGAAATAAAGCAGCCGCGAAAGAATTTCACTCTTTGTAAGCCCCTGTTTCCACATCTGATTAGCTATCTTGGGCCGGAGTATGTGGACCTGAGTGTTTTCTGGGTAGCAAATTAAATCTTTTTCCACTCTACCTCATGTTTAAGAGGTTTGGGAATTCAGTGATTAACTATCTATCATTGAAATAACTTTCTATTGTAAATTACAAAAGCCCTAACCACTTTGTTAAACCTCCCTTTTCCAAATGACATGGATAATAAAAATAGCTGGTGATTGGAAAGGCAATCCTAGGTTTTGCTTAGTCTCTTGGAGAACTGGCAGTAGAATTATAGGGGAGTCCATTGACCCTGCAGAGACATGGGCACGTGATTAATTTTGAAGACAGCAAGCAGCTGGCTTCAGTGGGATAAAAAAGAAGCACACAATCTTGAGCTCCCCTGAACTTGGGCAAAATTTCTGGAGTGAGGATCAAAAAAATAATGCCTTAAGATGTTCAGTGGGCAAAACCCACCATTTCTATCCTGTGTGAAGCAGGTTGCCAACACGCATGCTCAGTATATAGCTCTGGGCCGTGGGGAACTAAAGTTGGAACTGAGGCCAAGTGGGAAATTGGTAATTTCTTGTCTTGCCTGTGCACCAGCGAAGGTTAAAATTGCCTGTCCCCAGTTGGAGCTGCCTGATGAAACGGTGCCTGTTGCAGGGCAGCCCCGAGCGGCACGTCTGGGGACAGCGGGTCTCACTGGTGCTGGCAGGTGGTTCTTCAGACAAAGCGTGCACTGTTTAACACAAAGGCATAATAATAGTAAAGGAAAGAAAAAATTGTGGGTGTGAAAACAGATGGATGAAAAAGCTCTGCTGCTTTTATTGTTGTTTGTAGTCTGTAAACAGCAAGCTGTCATTTTAAAAGAAAAAAAAAATCATTTGCCCTTTTAGGTTGTGAAGATGCAGCTGTCACATGAACATATGTCCTGCTGCCCTCGTAGCCCTTTTCTGCAGAAAATTGTTCTCATCCAAACACTAAAGAGACAGAGGCAGAACTTGTCTTGTTATCATCCAGGGTACTTCAGTGAAACGTGCATTTCAGAACCTAAGTAATTAGTAGACAGCATCAGCTCCTTTTCTTTGAAAAAAGAAAGAAACAAACTATATTAAAAGAAGTCTGAAAATTCAGAGGGATGCTAAAACAGGCTGATGGTGTGTAGTTTTGAGTCTGTGTGCGTGAGCCGTGTTGGCAGGGAAGGCTTACCCAGCTCCTCCGCACGAGCTGTGGCCTCTTCAGAGTCTCCAGCTCATTCTAACTGTAGACCCGGATCTGCCCTCCAGGAGCAGTCTGCCAGCACTCCGAAACACAGTCCTCATATGGTCTGTGGGCTTAAAAATTTAGCCAGGGTTCAGCCTTGAGTGCGGGTACACCATAATCATGTTTTATTCACGGAGAATTAAGTTCCAGAAAGCAAACTTATGTAAATATGTTCTAGTAAATGTGTAGATGGGCTTCACACGTAGTGAGCTTTCTGGATACGAAGCATGTTGGAGAATGAAGATTGGATCAAGAGCTGTAGGACGTATTCATGCAGTGTTTTCCTGTTCCAGGATCTTGGTCAAAATATGCCTGCGTTGTTCTTTACTGTTTGGATATAAAATATCTGCCATAACCTGGCAGTGATATAGAGCTGAAGTAGTAGTGCTAGATGGATCTTAAACCGAATTATTCCTGAGACTTCAGCCATAATACGAAACAGATATCTTATGCTGCATACGTAGGATCTTGGGTCATCATTAAGATTGTTGTAGACATATAAAGCCTTGTAAAACTTGTGTGATACCATAAAATGGAAATTAGGTATCACAGTGGCTGAAAGAATGTTCAGAAACAACATAGAGACTGAAATTTGGGAAATTATTTTTGGGTTTTTTTACAACTTTACTATTATCTCTTCATTTCATTATTTTTCTTATAATTGCTTTAAGCCATCGGGATGGATAATTGAGAATTGCCTACGTTGTTTATTCCTGCTTTACTATTGGTTAAACAGAAGCATTTTACTTTACTGTGGGCAGGAAAGCACCTTGTCTGAATCAAAAGTTGTATTTTTCAGAAAACAAATGTGATTGTGGGAAAATGGTTTTACTGGGTTTTGGAAAAAAAAAAAAAATCCCGTATATTTATTTATTCTGTTTCTTGGTAGAAAAGTTCATACAAACTCACAATTCTCAGCATCAAATAAAAACAGAGTAAGTTTAAAGAGATCTCATTTTTATGAGAGTCCAGAGAGATGAGCAGTGGATTGATCAATGAGATGATCAATGGAAATCGATGGAATAGTCAGTCCTAATCAAGAATATAGACTAAGTTCAAGTCTTTAACCTTTAGAATCCCTAGTAGCTGAATGCCTGATGTCTGTGCAGGTTTCTTTTATATTTTCCTTCTCAGAAGATGCAATTTGAAATGAAGTTCTGAAGTCCAGATGTCTTGTTCCTCTAGTGATTGATTGCCCTTGCTTTTGGCAGTGCCAGATCATGGTCTTGGAATGACTATGACTGTCTGTGCTAAACGCAGCAATTAGTAGATGTAGATGCAAACAGAACACACTGCATCCTGTCTTCTCAAATTACCCTGTGGGAGGGTAATGTGCACGAATATGCACATGCCCAAATGAGATCAGTTACAGCATCATTAACAAGATACCAGTTTTTGTTTTCTCACCTCTTCTTTTCTCAACATTGACTAATTTCTCCAGCTTTTTGTTGCACTTTGAAGCTAGCAGAAAGCAATAAATACACAAGAAATTTTTCCACAACGAAATGTGAGCAAGTGTCCACCTACTTTTAGACTGTAAAAATGCTATCTTGATATTTTTTTAAAATTTATTTTATTTTTCATTGCTGATTTTCAGGTCACCTTGTCTTAGATTGTAAATTACATCAGGATCTGTATGTCTTACAATTCCCAGCATTATGTGTTGAGGCTTTGCTCTGGAAATAAAGCCGTGTTTTTCCTGCTTCATGTATCAGGATTCATGTAATAAAGATATTGGATTTCCAGAATAGCTGGCAATTCGAGCTGGCTATGCATGAGGCAGAGATGAACGGGGAGCTCCGTTGTACAGCTGTGTTGACTTCGCAGTGCTGACGGTTGTACAAGTTGTGTAGGGAGTTGATTTTTGAGAGGAGAGAGGAGTGGGTGCACCAAAGAGAGGGTCCTCTTGGTTTATGGTGATAAACAGAGCTTCAGTCCTGCTCTGGGGACTATATGGCTGGGAAGGGATGTCCTTAGCAGACATGATTTGTCCTTAGTGACCCAGGAGTTCCTTAAGAGAGTTTGAAGGCAAGATCAACAAAGGGACAGTTTGTTTGTAGGCTACACACAGGGTTGCTTTTATCCAGACAGTGTGGCCGGCTGGTATTTTGAGGAATGCATAGGAAGGGATCGGGGGATTTGCTCTTGTGTTTCCCAGTGTGGATCCTGCCATTGCCTCCTTCCTACGTGCAATGTAGGTGTGAGGAGAAAGGCACGATGGGACCATGTGTTTCTGCTCAGGCCAAGAAGGGTCTGTCACAGATGGATCAGATTTTCTCCAAGAGCAAATTCAGACTTTTGCAGTGTTTGTCTTATTGCTGGAGGATGGAATGAGGTGCTCAGCAGTGCATTTACGAGGCTATTGTTTCCAGAACACAGACAGCATCCATATTAATGCAGCATTGTTACACACAGTGATTTATGCAGTATTCCTTACACCTGAGACACTTACAAGTGCCTGTAAAGACATAAAGTGCTACTCAAACCCTGCAGCAGGTTTTTGCCTGACAAAGTCAGTTTTTTAACCAAAGGAACACATGAAGACTTGGACGGCGGTCGTGCATCAGACAGGAGCAATCCGTGCCAGTAAGGGCTGTGGAATGAGGAGCTGGGGATACCAGAAAGGACGTGTTGTCAGCGGAGGTGGCCTGAGAAGGCTGCTGGGTTTGAGCTGGTAGTTGAGCCAAACACAACATTGCTGTTCCGATCCAAACTCCTGTTTACGCAGATCCGTGGGCTCTGAGGTGTTGGGATTTTTCCCAGCTCTGCAATGCCAGTCTGCAGTGGTGTGGGCTGTGTGTGAATAGCTGGTTTGGCAGAGCGAGCCATCCAGCGTGCTGCTTTGCTTCACAGACGTATCAGAGAGCGGAAACATTCAAATGAATCCTTCTGTGTCTGTTTGCCATGTGTTTAAATAAATACCCAATTTGCAAAATTTGCAATAATGATGCATGAAAATTAGATGTACAATTGCATGGACTTTTGACCCGAAGCTTGTCTGCCTGTTACAGATCAGGTCGTTTAACTGGTAATTCTATTAGTTAATCAGGGGTGACGTGGGACCCATCACTCACACATCGCGTGTGGAAAAACGTGTTGTCGCTCTTGACTTCTCGACAGTTAGAGAAGCAGCTGTAGGGAATTCCATTAGTATGGAGTGTCTTACACAGCTAAAACTGTTGGTGGTGTTTTCCGAGATGAAGCGTAAGAAAAATGCTTGTTTGTTTTAGTACCTTTTCAAAGAAGTGTATGTTTATTGTAGATGAGTGAATTACATGCCTTGACATTTTCTTTTATTTTTTTTTTTATCTATTTTTCAGGAAACAAAAATCAACTGTGTCCGGCTGGCAACAAAAGGTATGTGGGTCTCTTTTTCCTGCAAAGCACAATGCCAGTAATGTAAAAGCTGCAGTGGTGACACAACCTGGTTACAGTTACTATTCAAAGAACAAGCCTCTTTATTTCCTCCTTCTTTTGTTTAGGAAAGATTACAAAGGCAGAACAACAGTTTCCAGAACCACTCCACTATATGTGTGGACTCTGTAATTTTTTTTAAGACAGGGTATCTTTCTCTGTCTCTGTGGTTCCTCCTTTCCCTTATTCTGTCGACAGCTTTCCTGTCCTGAGGACTGATCTTGCTGTTGGCAGAACATCACTGAAAAAGCGACAGTAACTTCCTATTAAATTCATTCTCTCTGCGACTGTAAAAAGTAGATAAGTAAGAGATCTCATGTAAGCCTAACGTTGAACACAGTGGGGCACAATTCTTATATCACACCATTTCCATGGTGTCATTCAACATACCAGTAGAGTACATCCCTAATTTTCATTGCAGTTAGTTCGGAACAGACCAAACCAATAGGTCAGATAGACCAGACCGAGCAAATCCGAGATAAATACTAAGATGCCATGCTCTGATCCCCAGCTGGCTTCGCGAGGTGTAGCTCTTGAGGGACTAACGAGGACAATGTCTGGGTTCCTTCTTCAAGTTTAGAGTTCCTTGTAAGGACTTCAAAGTCACCCCAGGGGCTACTTTGCCAGCAAAGCTGTCAGAAACCAGTTTCCTTGTAACTCAGAGGAGTAGCTGTAAAAAGGCTTCCTCAACATGTGTCAGAGCCCCAAAATGAGCTGTAAGGGAATTGTAGGGTAGTTGCCATGGGCTGTGCTACAGGTAGCGCTCTGTTTCCAAAACTTGGGGTTACCGTCTTGTGCTCCCGCTGCCTTGCTGTAACGTGAAGTAAGTGCATTACTGCCTGTGGAGTCCTTTGAGGCTTAAACAAAATTGGCAGGAACCCATGATTTTTTTTTTTTTTTCTTTGAGGCACCGTTGCATTTTTTCCATTCTTTTCACTCCTTTCTGTCTTGTGGCAGTAACAGAAGTTAATTAATTCTGGGTTTTTTTTCCTGGTCACTTCTGGATCTGCACTTGCAGAGGAGTTGGGAGAGCTCAAAGGAGCCCCAGCTAACAGTTGTTGGGAAAGCAGAAGAGGACTTTTTCCGTCTTCATATGGAGACATCCCTCAGTCTGTTACAGAAAGCCACGCACTGGGATGGCAGGTGCTGCATGGAGTTCCCACCTGTGCAGCTGTTTCAACTTCTGAGACCTGATACACAAACTGGTGGGGCTGTAAGAAGTTGTGTCACCACTGAAAGCCGAGGAGGATGAGCCATTTCTCCCCTTTCTCCTTTTCATCTGTGGCTCTGGTGCTCCTCATATCCTCTTGTTGCTTTCCTTTTTGAAAGTCTCTCGTAAAAATCTTTATTTAATCATTTCTCTGGGTTACAAACATTCTGTGTGTCTCAGTCTCCCTTCCTTCCCCCTCAGTTTTTCCAGCTGGTAGTGATGTGACCATTTTGAATACCTTACTTTGGCTTTCTGGTGGTAGAAAGAGCAGGACTGGGTAAGATGAGTCTGAGTGAAATGAGTCTCCCCAGGGTTTTCCCAGAGGTCTCTTCATGAGATCAGAGAAACTGGATTAATTCATTTTTGGAAACCTGTAGTTTCTTCTGTGTCAGTCATTCATTTTTCTGGAGTCGGTGGAAGAACGTTGTCATGCTAGCAGGAAAGATATTTGCTCTGTGACCCTTCAAAGAAAAATAAAAACCTACGTAGCTTGCAAGGTCCCATTCTTGGATGACCTTTTGATTTGCACTGTCTGATTTTGGTACTTCAGAAAAGTGTCACATGTTTGACCTTGAGTTGACTTCTGCAAACTGATTTAATTTTCATTAACCTGTGGGGTCACTAGGAAGAGTCAATAAGCTGCCCTCGTTCTGTTGTTTCTAAATGTCGTCTTTTTAAAAAAGGATCTCTTACTGATACTGATTCGCTAAGAGATGTAAATAGAGAGGTAGAGCCTGAGGATGCCTAGAGCCACTGCTTCTTGGTGATCTTATTCTTTAGGATTTTTCTGATTGACGTGAATGGGAAAGGACAAGAAATTATGGTAGTTCTAGCGTTTATTTTCAGTGTCTCAATGGATATCACTTTTGATTTATAGGCAGGTATCTTATTTCTCTATGTGGAATGTGGAAATCTCTATGGAAATCCTTTTTCTCCCCCCCCTTCTTTTTTTTCTCTTGTCCTCACTCTGCGAATTGCAATGTGGTATTTCTCAGTGCCTGACCGTTAGCAAGGACACTGGAATAGGCACAGCTGTGGCTAATTTTGTGCAGTTTTAGCTCTTCAAAGGTAGAGTATTGCCTGCAGCTCACGAGCAAGGTAGCATCACAAGTGAATTTGTCATCTTGATAACGTAACGGTGCCTTCCGTTGCTGGCACCTGTGAAGTACGAGCAGCTGAGTGATAGCTGAACAGTGTGGTTCTGTGGTTTGGAGCTTTCCTGTAGTTTCAGATTTCCATATGTCATGAGGCCGAATTCCCACCATACAGTAACTCCCCATGAACAGAAGGACTCAGACACTGCCCATCCCAGCCCCTGAAGATGGGTGTTGTATCTGCCCTCTGCTGTGCGGCGATGGACAGAGACACAAAACTGTAATTACATTGTGACCTGATCAAAGGCTGATAGCTGGGATGCTCTAGATGTCCTGCTGTGTCTGTGACGCCTTCTGTCTACTCCTTCTATTGGTTATCTTTAATGGCATTGCCCTGTATTCGCCTTTATTTGCATTGTTGCCTTTCTGAGGATAGAATGAGCCAACCTATAGCCCACCTTGAACAAAATGGTCGGAGCTGCTAGCAGAGACACCACTGTGGTGTCTTTGGTCACAGTCAGAAAAAAAAACACAACTGTTTTGGAGTCAGGGCTGATCTCAGCATTGACAGCTTAAAAGCTCTGCTTTGAGTTGGTACCAGAGAAAAAGCGTATTTTGTTTTAACACAAGAAGATAAATACATACTACTGGTGCCAGGCTAAATGTTCGTTTTGGGCTATAGGCCTAATTTTTCTGTTCCTAGACGTTTGACACTGCAGTAGCTCCATTAATGTTAGTGAAATGAGTTCTGATTTACACCGATGACAGGAAGATTAGGATCAAGACATGTTTAAGCAAGGCAAGTGTTCTCTTGAAGTACTGGATTAACAAGGGCAGTAAACGTGAGTGTGGGAGTAATTAGGCAATAAAATGTGTTAGGCAGTGTGTTACTGGGGGATTATAACACATCCTGGGTGTTGCTGCAAGGCACCTGTTCAGAAGCCGAGTAGCTTTAATTACTTGAGATGCAAGAGGCTGTTCCACTGTCGCTACTTCAGCAGGCTGGGAGACAATTTGCTTTGTATGTCCCAGTGCCTCAAAACCAAGAAAATGAAAGTAGACAACTCTTTAAAAAGTGTTCTAGTCCATTAAAGAGAGTTTTGGAGATTTCCCAGTTTTCTCTCCTCCCCTTTTAGCACGAAATAGACTGTTCAGATTGACTCCTTTTCAGTTCAGTTCAGCTCCAGCTGCTTCTCCTCTCTCCCAGTGCTGCGCTCTTCTGCATGCTGCTCTTGTTTAGATGAATTTGATTCTTGTGGTCACCAGAGAGATCTCTCAAATCTTTGTGTATTGGCTTATTAAACGTCAGAGTGGGGTCCAGCATTTCAGAGCACTGGGTCATGACACTGGTAGAGCATCCTCCAAAGCAGGGCGGGCAGATGCCCACCCGGGCGAGCACATCTATTGAGCTCATTTTCTTCCATCCAGTGTCTCAGTATAAGAGTCTGCAGATGGCAGTGGGACGGGCTGGTGCCAGGGACCCCTCATCAGCCTTTGCTGTGGTGACATTTGGCAATCCATCAGAAAGCTCTCTGCGTTTGTCCAGTCTGTGTAGCCATTTCACATTTTGCCAGCATGTTTTAAATCCACAAGCGTTATTAACCTTTTGTATCTATGTGTGTATTTATTTTCAGGTTCATTGGTCTCAGATTTCTTACCACTTCCAGCCATAAACATCTCTCCTCACATGGGCTACTCCTCTTTTTTAAATTGTTGTCATTCACAGCATTAGTCACTTGGATGCATATCATTAGCGTAAAACACTCTTTAAAAATAAGTTTCTAATTAAACCCTGATTTACCAGCTCTCTGCCATACAATTTTCATTCAGCCAGTTTATTTATGAGTTTTGCCATTTGGTTTCCTTGATAGCATTTGTTTTAGTATGTCCCATTCTTTCTGAATTAACTGACTTGTTCTCCCTGTCTTAAAGCAACATGTTTCTATTGACACTTTATTAGAGAAAATTGCAACCTCTTACCAAGAGAGAGCGATTACCTCTTGTATTCTTAAAGTGCATTAAATTAATTTCACAGTGTAATTGAAACCAAGGCAGAGGGCTCATTAATGGTTCCTTATCTCCTGATACTCATTTCTTCTTTCTTTAAAATGTGAGTTCTTGCAAATGAAAGAATGGAACTTTAATAATCGTTATGAGGTACATTTTTATTTTTTTTCTTTTTTTTTTTTTTTCTTGTGCATGCTGCCTGGGAACGATTTTGCTTGTTCTTAGCAGTAATGGGTAGGCAACAGGTGACCACGCGAAACCCGCCCAGCCTCTTGAGCACAGGTGATTATCAATTCAGGAAAAGGATAACTGTTCAAACTTCCCGAAGTCTGAGCAGCTTCATGAGTTCTTGTTTCATGTTTGGTTTGCATGGGAAAATACTTTTACAATTATTCAAATGACAATATAAAGGGGACACTCCTTACCTGGCACTCCTTGTGCACTGAAGTGAATATACGTCTGTGCAGAGGGTCATCTGAAGGTCCAAACACCACTTAAATCTTCACAGGAGCACTTGAGCATGGCCGAAGAGCCCCATGAATCCCTTGCTGGCCCTCTGCAGAGGCTGAATATCTCCCTGAGCATGCATGGAGATGACCTTGCATTTTTGAATTAAAGTAGTGATGGCTTTT